TTTCATTGGAGATTTCTCTCGAAAAACCTAAAAAAATTATATGTGTACATCAAAATAATGTCAAAAATGTTGAAAAAAAAGGCAGAAGGTTAGTCTTCAAAATTCAAAGAATCAGTGGCAAAATTAGTGGGGATTTTCAAGAAGGGATTTTCAAAAGATAGGAAAATTCCAGCTAAAAGGCGGAAAGGGGCTCTGTGATTATTAGGTAAGTTAGATGTCCAGAGTCTGAGTCATCACTCAGAAGTTATCACTCAGAAGTCATTATTGTAAAAATGCATGGCTAGTTTTAGCATGACGTTGGTCTTTATGCAAGATTTCTTCGTAGCCAGAGATGGTGATGTTTAAATTAAGAACGGAGTAGGTTTATGTTTAAAACTGGGGCTGTGCCCTCTCGTATAAATATCGTAGCGGGCTTAATGTCGTATTCTCGAATCCATGAGTGACTTCCGGTATCGCGGCGCGTGCCATGCCGGAAGCGGGGGGGGGGCGGCACATCGCCTCTCTCGTCGTTGCATCTAACGATGGTGCTTGCCCTAATCTTCTCCTTCGACCCCAACGAAAATGACTCCTGCCCTGCCTTCCCCCGAGAAACAGCCCCGATACAGCTGGTTGCTGATATTTATACGTTTCCTGTTGCAACATTACTTAAGCGACCCCTCCTCCCCCTTTCATTCGAGACATGCCCAAATTTGTAACGGAATACAAGATGTTATTTCAGTTAAGGAAAAATTATGCGCGACAAGCTCGGATACTCGTAGCTGATGGTGCTTACAAATTTTTAAATATTAAATATTAAATAATTATTATAATTTATTAAATATTTGAAAATAATTCTTGAAAATGACTCCTCCTCATTCTTTGTAAAGATTCGAGCGCTTTCTTCTATGTTATATATATATTATATTTCTTCTATGTTCTATATGTTATTTGTATCAAACATGAAAATTTTAGTAGAATAGATCTTCGATCAAGAAATTCGATCATATTTATGCATTTTGTTAAATTTCAATAAAAAATTCATTGATATTAAGAGATTATGCTTGTGAAATTTAAAAAAAAATGCCTTTTTGAGTTTTGACACCTTCTTAAAATAATTATTTTAAAAATATTCTTTAAAAGTTTCAAGTCCATCCAACAAAATAACATAGTTATATAAGTTTAAAATATATAGGTTTAAAGATTTTCGGAACAGATATAGTTATACTTGCATTTTTAGTCAAAGGGAGTCTCTTTTTGCGAATGTGTAAGCGATATGCAAGCATTTTATGCCAGTATAATTTTACTCGTATTAGTAAATACACAAAATTATATAATATCTTTTTGTTTTCCTCTTTTATATATAGAAGAAGAAAATGCCTCTTCTTCTTCCATATATGGGCTTAAAGCCTGCTGCTTCCTCTTCATATTCATGCGTGCGCACACAGGCGATGCACAGGAATATGGAACAATTTAATGCCGGCACACATTTTTGGGGAGGTTCTTTGGGTAGAAATGCTCTCGTGGTTTGCCAGACCGTCGAGAGGAGATACGAGCGTATGAAAATATTTTAGTTCTGTCGGGACTTGAACCTGGGATCTCTATAGCACAGCAGGCTTGTGCGCTATCTACTGTGCCAGGCTCGCTCCCCTATATAAAACTTCGGCGGCAAAAATAAATTAATGACAAGGTAACAACTTATTACGGCTTGACGAAAAGGTGAAATTGTAATTCTGTTAAAAATATAAAGAACGCGAATAAGGGTCGCTATATTATATAGCTTAACAGATAAACATTCGCAGTATAGCCAAGCGCGGGAATGGTGACGTGGAAGCATGGCGGACTTGAGTTATGGAGCCGAATCTTGACGCTGGTATTGAGTGGCACGTGCTTCGTTCATACATGATTTTACAAGTTTTTACCAGCAAAAAAAATTACTTTACTAAATACTTTAAGACTCGATTTTCACGCAGCCTATCTAAATGGAATGCATACCTGAATTTATTTCAAGTAAGTGATATGTAGTTTTTCAAAAGAATTCATATCGGCCATTGATATATAAATCGACGTGTTTAAGTTACGCAAGAGAATGCAATGCAAATGCAAATGTAAGAGAATGCAAATTATCAAATAAATATTCAATTGTATCATACAAATCTCAATCAGATTTGCAACATGCTATTATCGGTAAGTTAAGCGTCTCTTTTATACATTCTTCGTTATTTGATAATACTTTGAAGAGTTCTATAGGGCATATTTAATCTGTGCTTGTTGTTTAGAAACTCATGTTCGCGCGATGATTTGTAAAAAGAATTCATGTCGTCCATTGATATATTTATATACTTAAAATCGACATGACTACAATATGTCATGTTGCATGTAGCACTTATACTTAAATCGACATATGAAGATCTAAATTATTAAAACTGAATTATGAAAAAGATGCGTAGGACTCAAAATAATAAAAACTTAAATCAACTGATTTCGAAAATCAGGCCGACAATTATTTTCCAAGTGGAAATAGGAAGTCTGTTGAATTAGCTGCTTACATCGTCAGGTATACATTTTTTAGTATTTTAGTATTTTTTATGGAGCTTCAAACTTGGAGCGAGTAGTGGCCCAAATGGTCATAAAGATGTTGAAAAAGAAGACGTTGTGTCATCAAAATTTCAAATTTCCATGCGCAACAGGAAACTCAGCAGGCAAGAGCAGGTTTCGGTGCTTGTGAAGTTTTGAAAGTTACAAATAATTTAGAATGTACACTATCATATGGATTTGGACTTGACGATTCTGTATAATTTAAAAAATTTGCATTTTATTCAGTTGTAAACTTAACTTGAAGCTTTAAACGCATTTTCAAAATCGGTGATCGGAAAATATCTCGAGAATCACCGCACCGAACAAATTCAATTCTTGCAGACCTATTCAATTAATATATAGAGTTATCATTGAGTTATCATTTGATGGATCACAATATTATGTGAAGATTAAAAAACTCTTTTCTCAATATATAGCTCATTATATAGCTTAACAGATAAACATTCGCAGTATAGCCAAGCGCGGGAATGGTGACGTGGAAGCATGGCGGACTTGAGTTATGGAGCCGAATCTTGACGCTGGTATGAGTGGCACGTGCTTCGTTCATACATGATTTTACAAGTTTTTACCAGCAAAAAATTATCAAAATGATTATATTTCTCTTGTACATCTAAGTAAATAATTGTAGTGGCTTCTCTTAATTAAAGAAAAGAAAAGG